GCTGGGCAGCGTCCCCGGGCTGGGCCTGCGGCCAGGCCGCGTGGGGTGGGGCCGGCGGCCCGGTCACGCTTGGCCCTCCACCTGCCTTGGAATCCGTGCCTTCCTTGACCTTCTACCAGCTGCCCCTCCCGCCCGGGGTCCCAGCCTTGCGTCCCGGGACCCCTTGCTCTTGGGCAGCAGAACTGGAGGCCCAGAGGAGGCTCTGGGTTCAAATCCCAGCCCCTCATTTAGAGGCTGCGGGGTTTGGGTTGAGAAAGCTGACTTCTCTGAGCTCGTTTGGTCACAACTCAAACGAGGCTGCTAATCTCAGGATCTGGGGTTGAACTGAGGATTCGAGGAGCAGAGGGCTCAGCTCAGTGCCAGACCCCAGGCTTAGCGTTGCCTGTTTCTTATTAACGGCGCTCATTACTGTGGGAAGAGCTCCAGCCGCCGCAGGCTGCCGAACACTGAACCAAAGGCTGAGTCACTCCTATCAAGTCGCTTAACCTCTCAGACCCTCAGTCTCTTCTTTGTCTGTAACCAAAAACAAACCCTACCTCAAGGTTCTGAGCATGAAGACAGACCGTGTGCCGGCCACAGAGTGGGCACGCAAAACAGGGCAGCCAGCCAGCACCCCGTTTGTAGCCGAGGTAAGGAGCAGGCGGGTGGAGGCCAGCGCCCAGCTAGCTTGGGCCCCAGGCCACCTGGGTTCCAGTCCTGCTCTGCTCGAAGGCCGGGGCTCCGGGCGGCAAGGCCCACTTTCAGCAGAGTGGATGTGAGATGGGCATGCGCCCGATACGTAGTAGGCACACAGCCCAGAAGCCCCACTGCCCCAGTTTTAGAAAGAGGGCCCCTCCTTTCTCATTCAGGTTCACCGTGTACTCACTGTGCACAAGCTCCAGGCTCAGGTTGAGCATCCCATGTGGGGATGGGGAACAAACGGCCCCTCCTGGAGATAAAATCATGCTCTCTGAAGGCCCTCCACCCACTTTCCCAAACAGAGCAGGACAGCAACCTGCTCAGAGTCACACAGCCCCACCTCTGAGGGGCCCTGGAGCTCCGCCCCAGCATGCTGTCCCCTCCTTGCAGACCATGTCTTTCTCTGCACCGGCTTCATCTGAGGTCCCTAGCTTTGGATGAGGAAACTGAGGCTCAGAGAGGGATGGTGACCATCACAAGGATGCACAGCATCTGCCACCTTCAATATCACAATGGAGCCACAGCAGTCCATCGCCTCCAAACAGCAGCCAGGTGGGAGATGCAGGAGCTGGGTGCGTCTCTGCTGAGCTCCCCCCGGGCCGAGGTCTCCGGAGGTGGGCGAGCTCATCTCAGGGAAGAGGGAGCCCCCCATCAGCAGAAGGTCCAAGCAGGCCGCGGCGGGTCTCCCGAGGGCACGGAGAGGTGCGTCCAGGCCGGCCCGAGGGTCTGCAGGGGGCAGGATGCCCCGGGACGAGGCTCTGCACCGTCTGTGATGCCCTGTAGGGGAGCTTGCTAGCAGTCAGCTCGGGCTTCCTTGGGGGTCCAGTGCCCTGGCTGGGAAGCGGGGCTGTCAGTCACAGGCTGTGTAGCTGGTGTGACCTGTCTGCTGGCAGCCAGGTGGGGGTCCATGTAGGTTCAAGTCTAGGCTTTGCCTCTCTCCAACATGGTGTGTCCTGGAGCACGCAGCAGTGGGTGTCTTTCATATGCTGGTATGCCCTGCCCTCCCTGAGCTTCGGGTTTCCCCGAAGGCGATGAAGATTACGTTCCTTGGCCGATTGTTATTATTCAAATAATAATTTGGGTGGGCCTGACCCAATCAGGCGAGCCCTTTATAAGAGGGTCCAACCTTCCCTGCAGGGAGAGATTTAAAGCTGCAGAAATTCTCCTGCAGGCTCAAAGATGCAAACAGCCGTGGTGTGAACTGCCTGTGGAGGGGGCCATGTGACGAGGAGCTGAGCGGTTCCCGGCCAACAGTCCTCAACAATATGGGGACCTTAGTCTTGCAACCACAAGGAACTGAAGTTTGCCAACAACCACGTGGTGTGGAAGGGGTCCCTGATTCTCAGGCAAGATCACAGCCCAGCTGACACCTGGATTTCAATCTGCTGAGACCCTGAGCGGGGAGCTGTGCCGCTTCATGACCAAAGAAGGTAATTGGGTGTGGTTTTAGCCACTACATTTGTGGTAATTTGTTATGAAGTACAGATAACAAACACAGAGGCCACGGCCCAGGAGTCCCTGCAGCCCGGAGCCCCAGCTAGGAGGACCCACATTTGGCAACCTGCCTGGCTGCCCTGCCCCGCAGACCTCCACCTGCACATGCCCACCTGCCCATGCTCTCCAGGCTCCACAAGTCTGCACATGAGGCCTTGAGTTTCAGCTCCTGCACCAGGAGTTAAGGGGTGCGGGGCCCCAGGCTCTCAGCCACCCTCCAGCTCAGCTGCACCCCCAGGCAGCCGGTTTCAGGGCGCCCGTCACTGAGCAGAGGGCAGTCTTCTAGGGCAGGCCTGGATCCCTGGGGCTGATGGGCTGTGCGGGGTGCTGCTGTCCTCCAGGGGCAGGTGCTTCTGGCTGCAAGCAGAGCCCTTGCTCGCCTGGGCTGTGCTCACCAGGCCAGCCCTCACCTCCAT